GGGAGATGAGGATGCGGGTCAATACAGACCGTCACCTTCTGCCTTTAGACGATTGCTAAAAATAAATTCACTTTGGAGTGACTGTATGATTAAAGCACGTCTGAGGATATTTTACAGCTGTCGTACTATCATATATGTTGTTTGTGTTTGTTTTTGCTGGAATATAAATGATACACTAGGAATAATGTTGCTTAATATTCTTTTTCACAGACAGATTTCCATGTATGTGTTGGTTAAGCGAGACAAAAGTTCAAGAAGTTTTCAAATGTCTGAACATGAAAGTTTACTCCTGGCAAGAAAAACCTTGAACAAATGTTTTATTCAGTGGCATCTGATTAGCAAAAGGATTTAAAAGATGGGTTGTAAAAATTTTAATTAGGGAAATTAAATAATTAGACATGTTAAAACCTCTTTTAAACTCCTCCAATGTCAGCTTCACTGATCATGTTAAGTTAATGTTTCTGCACAACCATACTGAACGACACAAACTGTACTGGTTTATGATTTCCTATAAGACAAAATAATTTTACATTTCTTTTAAGAAGGTAAACTTATTAGGGAAGGAAAAAGGTAATTCATCCAAAGCCAATCATAATTCCCCTCATTTTAGAAGGCGTATCTGTCGTGACATCACAAGCTGCTTTGAGCCCCGCTTCCTGGCGGGTCTCCAGACGAACAGACCTTCTGCTGCCCACAGGGTGGCAGCGGCCTAGGGCAAGGCAGCAATGGCCAGGTCACCAGCTCTTTTCCTCCTGCCTGGCACCAGCACCACAGGGAGAAGAGGATGGCAAGATGTCAGAAACAGCAGAAACAGACCCTTTAGACGTGTTAAAAAGCAGGCACAGCTAGAGGAGGCTGTTCATTGAGCATTACAGAGTGACGGGGGAAACCATTCAACTCTCAATAAACATTAGGCACCATTATATGGCTGATGTGAGCAGGAAGTTTTTATTTTTCTTTGTCTTACATCTACAAATTTCAGTGGATTTCATTGGACAGAATCCAGAGAACTTTAAAATGTTTAAAAAATGTAAACAAATAAAACTTGCTTAAATTTTAAGTCTCTGGATGTGCAAAAAAGACATCCAGAGATTGACATTTTTATCAAATTACCTTAAAATAAAGTTTTTTATAGATTTGGTTATCATCCTATAAATTGAATTTGCTTATGTTCCAGCTTCGGTCCTTTTGCAGCCTCTAAAAACTTTCCCTGGATTTGGATATTTAGCTCCATCCATTTAACTCTGACCAGCTTCCCTCTGCCTGATCAAGAAAACCAGCGCCACATGATACTGCTGCCACCGTGTTTAGGAATAGTGGGTTTCAGTTGATGTGTGTGATGTGTTAGTTTTCCACCCTTTTTTTAGCAGGTTTGTTAAAAATGAAGTTAGCATGTTGCAAGGGTTTAAGCTAGACCTCTTAAAAGGCTTTGATCCAGCAATGCCTTTCCTCTTGCTACTAAACTCATTTGATCTGTGATTTTCTGCAGCTCCTGACTTTTGGCTATTTCTCTTGGTATTTGTGCAGTTTTGACATACTATGACCATTTTTGGTTGAAAACTGAACAGAATTGTTAGAGAAGTTTAAAAGTTATTGTTCTATTCTATTATTTGGCCCTGCTGCAGAGACTCCCCAACTTTCTCCCTGACCTGTTCCAAGGGTTCCTAAATAATCGGGAGGTTGTTTATTCTCTAAGGTTCTCTAAACATGTGATGACTTCAGAAAACAGCTGGATTTATACAAAGATTAAGTTGTAAAAATGTGACATCTGTTGTTCAAACAAGCATTTATTTAGACTTATCAATCCACACCTTTAGAGTTCTTTGAAATCTGTAATCTAACATCCTTATAAAACATATGGAGGTTTGTGCTGCTAACCTGAGAAAAACATAAAAAGGTTTAAGTTGCTGTTAAACATACTATACTTTGTCAGGTTATGCTGTTTTTGATAAGCATCGTCTAATTTTTCCCTATAAAAATCCTTTTTATAAAGGCTCATTCGGGGGGTTTTATGGTTCCAGTCATGATTGTATAAATAGAAAAACAGCTTTGTAAAACATTACCAATGGAAACTCTCCCTCCAAAAGATTCATTATAAAACCAAAAGAAGAGTGGTTTCAAACACGTGAAAAGATTTGAGAGTGAGGATGCGCTATGTGTCATAGAGAATTTCTACTCCTGACTAATGTTTTACCATCAGCGTATGTCTTCACAGGCCTTGCAGTTTGTCAAATAAAGAAAGAGAAAGTAAGCAGGGTCTGAGTTTTAGGTTATTTGATTTAACTTCATACAAAATGAAGGCTTTAGGGACAAATCAAATGAAATCAAATTTATTTGTATAGCCCTTTACAATAACCAAATGGTACCCAAAGTGCTTTACAACAAAGCCATAAAAACAATACATAACACATATAAAAACATACAAGATACAATTAAAAGTGCTGTAGTGGTGCACTGCTGCAGGACATTAAAAGCCTTCCAAATATGACAATCAACACAAATTAGACTGATTCATACAGTTTGACAGTCTTAACAAGTTTTAAAACTTTGTGTTTTTTTGTCACACACAAAAGGATGATTTACCTTGTTTGGATTTTTTTTAGATAACACAAGGTTACCCTTTAAGAAGTGGAAGAGAAATAACACTGTGATAGCTACTAGGTGTGCACCATGAGGTCCCAGATGTTTGCTTCATCCAGCAAACATTTGGTAAATGTTTTTTGGTCAAGATGTCAAATGAATTCACGAAGAGGAAACTAACAATCCCAGTCACTCTGAACACACAACTCAATGTGAAATATGGCAGGATTTTCACTGTGCTGTAAAGATAATTTTTTTGAGAAGAACAGTAGAAGCCAGTATCAGAGAAAGATGTAAGGATTGAGCTAAATACGTCACTATTTCCCAAGGTTTGGGTTGTGACCCAACTTTTGCTCCTTAGTCAACCACTCTGGGGTCTTGAGATCCACTACAGAAACTAAACACAACATCAAACAGTTACATAGCTTTTTGAAACTGCTCATAATGTTATTTAACAAATCCTCAGTTGATTTTGTAGAAAAGTTTGCATACTAAATCTCTAGTACGGGTTATGAGTCAAATCTTATACCATTTATGTGTCAAAACCTGAAAATCTTAGGAACCTCTGAAATAGGAGGATTGTTGGGGTTGGTGGAAGGTCAAAAGCATCAAATTACTTTTTTTCCCCTAGCATTTTATTGTAATTACACTGTCACAAGTACAGAGGAACTAAATTAATTCTTTGCATTTAACGCATCGCATAGGAGTGCAGTTTGGGGTCAAGGGTCTTGCTCAGGGACCCAGAGTGGCAGTCTGTAGGAGTGGGGGTGGGGCTTGAGGTCAGAACCTCAGGATTTTAAACTAGGTTGCCCCCTAATGGGACTTGAAAGACTTGAAACCGTGACAAGGACTCCTTCCTCACTAACATGACTCTTAGCATAAAGCCTGACTTGCAAAGGAACGGTTTAAACCAAAATACACTCATGTCTAAGAATGACCTCCCTGAACTTAATTGAATTCAGAAACTATGCCAGCACTTAAAAGCAATAAAAAGGCAAATATTTGAGTTTATAGATGAACAAAGCTAGAGATATACCCCCAGATGTATTTGCAGTGATCGCGAAAAATCCCATTAAAATCAAACAAGGTTTAAGGTTCACTGAAAAAGAATGCAACCAATTTTTGCATTTATTTAATCATATTTAGTTAGTTCAACACAATTGCTTTATGTCCTACCCTGCTAACATTAAACAATTGTGTTAAAGTAACTAAATATGATTTAGTAGATGCATTGCATTTTTTTTTCAGCGTAACATGACAAAAATGTAAAACTGTGTAAGTGGCATTGATGCTTTCACATATTGCTGTAATTGTTAAGTTAGGAAACAACCAAGCAGTTGAAAACACTCTTGTTTCAAAGCAGATTTCACACCAAACGCATGCCAACAGCAGGGTCTGTGGATTCCAGCTCCATATTCATGAGGTTCTGAAGCACTCAAACAGCTCGTTGACATTATCAGTGCAATCCACACAAGCGTATCAGCTATAGACTGCTTGCGGCTCAGATAGTTTTGATTTGTCTCGTTTGATCTGTGTTTGTGTGTTTATTTCAGAGGTGGCAACCTGCTAAACTAAGCCCCCTTGTGTCTTTTATCATGTAGATGTCCCCCTTCAAGTATACAGCAGAGGCTGAGCATCGTCTGGGGCTAAAAGAGGAGCAGGGGTCTTTCAGCGGTTAAAAGGTGTGCCATTAACACAGCAATGAAGCCCAACTTAGAGCCAGAGGTGGATTTCCTTTGAAGCAAAGGGCTACAAAACAGTCAAGCAGGAAAAGGCTGATAGGAAACCAAAGTGATCTAAGAAGTCTTGTCACTTTTGTGACGAACTGAAGAAAAACATCACCCGTTCCAGTGTTATTTGGAAAACAGAACATAGTGGTTCTCTTCTGAAATAAAATTTTGTTTCAAGAGATTAAAAAATATATATTTTCTGCCATTTTCCACTTTTCTCAGTGAATCTCACACAGATGATTCCGATATTTATGTCTAACCTTAACCTACTGGCTGCTTAAATCCAAACTAATAACATAAACATGGGATTAAGTCATTAAAACAAAGAAAATAAAATGTATTTAATATGTGTTTCCTCTTGCAAATCTTTATAGTGTCATACAAAAGCTTACATTGATAATTCTGTGTGTTTTATTTGCAGAATATTTGGTTTAGACTTCCAGGGATTTACAAAAAGCTGCCATTTAGATCAAATTAAATATATTACTGTAACAAAAAAAAAAACTAAGCTGAAATCTGTAATAGCTCCTGATGCTGTGGTCTGAATGTGATAGATGGGATGAGGATGCAGGCTCCCTCACACACCGGGTCCGTGGTGCTGAGGAACCCCTGCCCCTCCCCTGGTGATCAGATAAAAGGCTGCTATCAGCGCGTCATGGCCACAAGGAGAGAGATCTGCGGCGAAGTGCGCCTCTCCTCCGCCCACCTCCAGGGCTCTCTGGCTTCATACTGAATCTCACATCACCTCTCTTCGCACAACATGATGGCACTGTCTGGCTTGGGTTCAACTTGGCAGATCGTTTGACATATTTACTTTTGTTTTTTGTTTTTTTTAAAAAAGGTTATATTTTATTTTACAGCTACTGAAGCTGATTTTTCAACAGATCTAGGAAACAACTGCTTGGTAAGTTTTTATATTGATTTCAAGAAATGTTCTAAATCAAACGTTCAATTAATTGATTGGTTACTTTATTCAGTTAGTTTATTGTTTTCTTCAAACACTTAAATCTAACTTGTAAATTATTTATCCCCCCCCCCCAAAAAAAAAATCCCTACATTTTTTTTAAAATTATTTTTAAATGTCTTATATTGTTTTTTTTTATTATTATTTTTGCTGACAACATGCGCCTGAATTTAATCCTCTTCATTTGTTTTATCTGATCTGTCAGATGCAGGAAGCATCACAGGTTACTTCAAACGGAAAAATAATTGTCTATTTTCCTGTTTCTGGTCGTCGGTCCCGTTGGGACGCGGGAGCGCATCAGAAATGAATGAATGTAAATTCATTAATGAAATGAGTTTCTATTTCCTTTGGCACCTTCTTCTTCTTTTTGAGTATTTGAGCAAATGTAACGAGTAAATTTCTCCACTGTGAGATCAATAAAGTTAATAAATAAATCATATAATTTCAAAAGCACGATTAAGTTTCATACATATATATTTAATATATATATATATAACATATATATTTAAGAATTATTAGTATATTTTCAACCGAAGGATTGAATCCAAACATTTATACAATGTTATATATATTTAAATACCTTTTTTTTTTTTGGATCACCATTTTCTGAATTCAAAATTGTATTTTCCCCTCTGAAAATGGGTGTCACAAATTTGGGTGCGGGTGCGTTTTCAGTGATGGTTTCATCTAAAATCTGTGCATCCTATTTAAGGTTTGTCATATGATTTACAAGAAATTGTCAGGGATGTCTTCAATCAAACGAATAAATATATATAAGTGCTAGAGGATAAACAAAAATGCGTTCTTATCTGATGCATTTGATTAGACAGTTGAGATTCCTTTTTGTTAATTCTAGAAACTAATCATCTAAATTTCGATTGTTCGATTGTTACTTTATATTGTTATTCAACAATATAAAATGCAGTTTGATACGTTAAAAATTTATTTTAGTTGGCTTTTGAAGATAAAGAAAAAAAATAAAGGGAATAAATTTTTTTCAGTAACCAGGTTTAATGTATGTTTTTGTTTTACATAATCACAAATTATAATTTTATTCTACGATTATCTGAAGCCCTTTGGGCCTTTGATCTCACTTTTTTTTTTTTTTTTTTGGCTTAACTGCCTTTGACCTGCAGGTCTCTTCGCCTCCATCCATAGCGCCCACTCCAGGGAACACTTGAAGAAGTTTGAGCACCGGATCGGTGGCTTAAACACATCCCCGAAGGGTGCAAGACAGAAGTCAAACGGGTTTCATTCCTCTAGGAGGGGACAGAAGCAGTTATGCTGGGCAGTGAGGGGGAAAGCAGCGCGTATTCATCCTCCAAAGACACAGCGGATGAGAAGCGCGCCTCTCCAGCTGTGGATGGAGACGAACCGGCGGGCAGCAGGTATCCGGAGCACGGCGCATCCTCCGATCGCTTCTATATCCCATCTACGATTTCCAAGCAGAGCTCAGAAACAGCAAACCCGTGCTCGTTTCTCCCATACACCCCCAGCGGGGCCGTGTACCCCCCGTCTGGCGCTGCCAGGTATCCCTCATCGCTCCACCTGGGCTCAGTGTTGCCTCCTGCGGGGTATTCCCCCTCAGCCGCCGGGCGAAACCACTTCAGCACCTCCTACCAGCACGGTCAGAACCTGGGCTGCCTGTATAATCCTTACACCGCCTCCGGTTCTGCTCTGAGTAACGTGGCCCTGCCGGGGCCCGCGAGGGCCCAGGTTTACCTGTGCAACCGGCCGCTCTGGCTCAAGTTCCACCGTCACCAGACCGAGATGATCATCACCAAGCAGGGCAGGTCAGACGGCTGGAACTCAGATAGAACTAAGATGATATGATTATTAGAACGATGTGGCTCATGAATGTTTGTTTCCAGGCGGATGTTCCCCTTTCTCAGTTTTAACATCGCCGGGCTGAACGTGTCAGCGCATTATAACGTGTTTGTGGAGGTGGTGCTCGCAGACCCAAACCACTGGAGGTTCCAGGGAGGCAAATGGGTCACCTGTGGAAAGGCGGACAACAACAACCAAGGTAAATATGTCCAAAAAACAAAAACAAAAAAAGAAGAAGCTTTTTGGAAAATCCAATTTTGGAATTTCCTCCTCGATTAGAGAACACAAGTAAAATATTTTTAAGACTTTTTTTTTTTTTTACAGTTTCACAATTGTTATGATTATTCTTCTGCTTACAGATGGTGGTCCTGCAATCGCTTCATAAGTACCAGCCCAGGCTGCATATTGTGGAAGTGGCAGAGGATGGAGTGGAGGACATCAGCAGTGATGTAAAGACGCAGTGTTTCACTTTCCCGGAGACTCAGTTCATAGCAGTCACTGCCTACCAGAACACCGATGTAAGTAGGAAAACAAACATAACTTTCAAATAATCATCTCTCACTTTTTTTATTTTCTATTTAACAGTCTATGACTGTCAATCATTGGAGCTGACTGAAAATGCTCATTATTATTCTCAGGGCCAGTTGAAGGCGATAGGAGGCCAAGTCAGGTTTACAACTAATATTTTAAAGAGAAGGCTTTTCCTTTGAATCTTTATCAACCAAATACTTTGGTTGATGATTTATCCAATATTTTAAACAGAGGAGTGGTTTAATTATATAGCTTGGAGAACAATATTGTGTGTCTACAAAATCATTTGTATTATTCCTCTTAAATAACTAAATACAGATAAAGATGCAATAAAAACATTTTAACACTCTACTCCTGCCTTTGAGATTTAGAAACCAAAACCAGATTTCTGTGAGGATTAAAATCAATTCTTTAACATGTGAACTAAAGACATCTCTGGATGAAATGTTGCTGAGGGTCATCGGGAAGCAATGCATAAAACTTATATTTATATATGTTTGTTCTCCATAAAGACAACCAAAGAAATATGTTTTTTTGTGTGCATTCTGATGTCTAATTCTTTTGTTTTGCTTTTCTTTAGATCACACAGTTAAAAATTGATCACAACCCTTTTGCCAAAGGTTTCAGAGATAACTATGATTCGTAAGTACTTTTTTACGCTGCCTGTCATTCCTCTCAGAAACCAAACCAAAATGTTTCCATGCCACATAACTGCATCTGACAACTCATTTTGCAAGCACCCCCCCCACACACACACACACATACACCCACCCTACAAACACAAGCACAAACCTTAGATTTACTTTGTTTTATTATTTTTCCAGAATGTACACAGCCACCGAGAACGACCGTCTCACCCCATCTCCAACCGACTCACCCCATGCCCACCAGATTGTGCCTGGCACTCGCTACACCATGCAGCCCCTCTTCCAGGACCAGTTTGTCAACAACCTCCCCCAGAACCGCTTCTACAACTGTGAGAGAGCCGTACCGCAAACTAGCAGTCTCCTTTCACCTCAGACAGAAGACGCAGCATCACAGAGGTGGTTTGTCACCTCTATGCAGCAGGGGGGGAACAGCAGCACCTCCGGCAGCAAACTTGACTTGACACCCTATGAGGGGGAGTACTCAAGCTCTCTCCTTCCTTATGGCATCAAATCCCTGTCCATGCAGACAACCCATGCTCTCAGCTACTACCCAGACTCTCCTTTCACCACAATGACAGCAGGGTGGGGGTCCAGAGCAGCTTACCAAAGAAAAGTCCCTCCCAGTCTGCCATGGTCACCCCGACCCAGCCCCACAGCTGGTTTCCCTGAAGAGTCTGTGAAGATTAAACCGCAGATACAAGACGAGGTGAGTAGTGAAGCTCTGATCAGCTCCTGGACAGAGACTCATATGTCAACCCTCTCCCCAAACAAGGCTGACTCATTTTCCATCGCCTGCAAGCGAAGGCGTTTGTCTCTTAACGGTCCAAGCACACAAGACTCACCTGCAAACAGCAAGTGTGAAGAGCTGGCCGCTGCCACCATCAGTGGCCCCTATAGTAAAGAGCCCCCACCTACAAAAAGCATGGCTTACTATCCTTTTTACACAAACCCCTGATTTCTGATTGAAGTTTTTGTCAAACTTTAAAAAGAACATCCTCACTTTGTTAGGGATCATTCACCGCGGGGATTAACAAATCACTTTCTGCCTTTTTTTTTTTAAATCAAATTTGCTTTGTTTGTGATGAACTTATAAATTCCTATTTATGTAAAATTATCAAGCATATGTGCAACAAATGACCAGACTACACAAATAAGCTTTACCCTCCGGGAATATGGACTCATTTAAGTGTTTATTCATTTCAATTATTTATATCCTAAATGTTTTCAAAGGCCCGAACAAGATTAGTGTATTTGGAATTTGTTCTAACGCATGTGATTTCTTTATTTTTTTTTATACATATATAAAAAAGAAGTGCTATTTTGTGTCAGACATCATTGCATCTAGCTTTGTGGTCAGATTGTGAGCTTTCAGATTATTTATTGAAGGTCTGTTTGTATGAAATGTGTGCACTGGTGAGATGTGAGAATAATATGCTATATATTGCTTCAAATTGCAGATATTTGATAATAAAAGGAGTATGTGTCTTTATTGTGTATTAAACTTGTTTAAATTGCTTTTTTTGTTCTTGTTGAAATGCAGGATTATTTCCATGGCCTATTGTTAAAGCATAAATTAAGCTGATTGATTTAAAGGAGACTTATGAGGGCTACAAGGCATCGTGATTTGTCAAGCAGCACTTCGTTAAACGAAAGGCCTTTTTTTTGGTAGACTTTGTCTCACTCTAGTGGCGTAATGTTGTCATTACACGAGGTGCTGCATTTATTCTGGTACATAATTTCTTTCTAAATTTCCCATCTCTGCTAGGGTTGGTTACCTTTTAATTTTGTAATGTTATGCTTATCGTCTTATTCTTAATTTTATCTCTTTTAATTCTTTTATACTCTTCATTGCAACATATTCCTCATTGGATTTTAAAAAGTCATATTTTTTTTTTATTATTTTTTAGTTTGTAGCATCATCGTTTTATGACTTTTTTAAAAAAATATGCAGGCTATGTATAATATTTAGGACGGCTACTAACAGTTTTAAATAATCCTTCTGTTTCATTGTTAGCTCAGTTGTTGTTTTTTTCTTTTGGAAGCACAAACTGAACCTTCTCCCCAATACATCACCCTTTCAAATGTATTTCTTTATTGATCTGCAGCACGTTCAAGAGGAGTCATGATTGTACAGCCAAAAACAGAACATTGAGCACCATCAATAAATGCGGTCAGATCAGAACTTTTTTTTTTAATGTCCTATCTTAATTAATGTAAAGCAGAGGACAACATGATATGTGATAGGCTTAGGGTATAAACAGGCCCAACTTGATTTTTTTTCTACCTCAGTGATAAGGTTCAATAAGAGAAGACCATATATCTCATAGAAAATAATTGCACTCTGCTTCAGGTGATTTTTGTCAATTTTGATTGCAATTGCTCACAGCTAATATAAAAAGTGTCTGAGGAAACTCAAACGTCACATAGGATTATTTAACAAGGCTGTTTAATACAGAAATTTTATGGGCTTGCTTGCTTGACAGATGTCCAGTAGACAGTCATTGATAAGTCAAAACATAAACTGTCATTTTCACAGAAGGCGGCTATTCACACAGTCCTGTATCCATGCAGTTGTTTGGAAAGTTAAGTGGAGGGAAAAGTGTGTGGAATATAGCAGGTGATTAAGAAGCTCTTGAGAGGAATGCAATGGCAAGCATATTCCGCAGATTAAATAACAATTCACGAGGCGTGGAATGCAGCTGGAGTCAGAGCATGCATCAGGACATGGGCTAAAATTACTGCATTGCATGTCTTTAACATCTCCTGCACCTGGTTTAGATGCAAGACTGGAATCTTGCTCAGTCGTTCACGGGCCTGTTTTCAGATTAAAATAAATGTCACTTTTTATTAAATACCAAGGTCGCAGAGTATTTAGAAAGAGTGATAAGGTACATAATCTGAGTTTCTAGAGTTTCTGCGAAGTTTTCACAGTCAGTGCTGATTTGTGAAGCCATGTCATCAGCTGTATCCATTACACAGCATGCTCTGTTTTCTACCACATCCAAAGTCAGTGCTTATCTGGGAACATCTGAGCACTCTATTGTTCCTTCTGCTGACAAACCTTATATTGATGCTAATTCTACCTTCCACAATAAACTTACACATAACTGCACTGCAGAAAATGACAGTGTTTAATCACCATGGTATCCCTGTGCTTAATTTGGAAGCAAACTTACTACATTAGATCACTGATTCCCTACGTTTAGCTCAAGACCCCACTTGGATTTCTTGAACAACTAGTAGGAGGTCTTTAGATCAGAGGTGTAAAGGAGTAAATGTATGGACTGAACTTCTTTACTTAAGTAAAAAAGTACAAGTTCTACATGGTACAGAAAAACAAAAGTAAAATGCAATTTTTAACCATAAAAGATACATAATAATGTTCCAGCTCCAATCTTTAAAGCTCCTTTATTCACAGCATTAAAGCTCCAAATAGCATTACAATTAAAATAGAACCTAAATGGGAAATGTCCTGCATCTCAGAATCTGATTCATTGTCTCCATTTTTATTCAGGCCCCATCTTCAGCCATGTCGCTATCCATGTTTTCCTATCAACAAAGTGTGTTCCAACTAGAGAGACTGTCTTTGTGCTCTTGACTTTCCTTCTGTTTTGTTATAGCTGTTACGTCATGTCGTTATCATGTTATAGTGAGTAACAAGCTAGTTTTAAAAAGTAAGGAGTAAAAAGAAGAGATATTGTGTTCAAAAGCAGAGAGTAAAAGTAAAAAGACCTTAGAAAAATAAACACACAAGTAACGTAAAACTACTAAAATAAGCTACTTAAGAACAGTAACAAAGTATATATACTTCTGCTTAAAATCCAACAGAAATTTAACCAATCACTAAATATATGTTCCAGTGCCTAAGGATTAAAACATAATTTAGTAATGGACAAACCCATAGTTCATTGATTAGTTTGAAATGTTTTATAATCAGCCAAAGTTTGGATCATGATAAATCGATTCTTTTACCATTTCGTTGGTCAGACGCTGAGGATTTTGGGAACCTCTACCTTAGATAATCTAAAGATGAACATAAAGAAGAACATGATAGAAACTCCACATAACAACACAGATGAACTGTACCTGACTTGAAATACTTTATTTTTATGCCATGCCAAAGGGATGCTAAGATTTATATGCAGTTGCTCCTCAACATATAGGTTTATGACTCTAACTAACCTGTGTGATATAGATATATTAAAAAAAAAAAAAATTTAACTGTAGGCGTATTTCAATTTAAAGGTTCTTCCATGATCAACTGTTTTTGACCCATTTTCCCCTACCAGTGGCAACAGCAGGATAGTATAGGAGATCACGTATTTCAAAGTAGCATGATCTGTTTTATAGTACAGATTCAATACCAGATAAAATAAATAAAAGAAAGTTATCTGGCACTGCAAGTTTTATTATTATTATTAATGGTTTTAAATGGGTATTAAACTCTTGTCCAATCTGTGGATTTTTATGTTAAATAAAAGTCCGTCACATTTAAAATGTTATCTTATTTTGTTTATATATAAGCGTTTCATCTTTCCCTCTGTGCCTCACAACCAGACTGTCGGCTACAATGAACGCGAACTCAGTCCTGGCAACCCAACTGTCAGCTATAGTGAACGGGGACTCGGACCTGGCAACCAGAATGTCAGCTATAGATAACGGCGACTCGGACCTGGCAACCCGACTGTCGGCTACAATGAACGGGGACTCAGACCTGGCAACCCGACTGTTAGCTACAATGAACGGGGACTCGGACCTGGCAACCTGACTTAGCTATAGAACGGGGACTTAGACCTGGCAACCCGACTGTAGGCTACAATTAACGGGGACTTGGACCTGGCAACCCGACTCAGCTATACAACAGCGACTCAGACCTGGCAACCCGACTGTCAACTATAGTAAACGGGGACTAAGACCTGGCAACCCGACTGTCATCTATGGTGAACGGGGACTCAGACCTGGCAACCCGACTGTCAGCTATAGTGAACGGGGACTCAGCGTGAGCTACATCTCTCATCTAAGCAGCGTCTCTCCATAAAGACTGCCTTACATCTAAAAGCTTATTTTGGACGGTTGTGACTGGCAACCACCTCACAAAGCCAAGTTTCCAGCAACAATAGGTACATTCTGTGTAAGTCACAGTACTTGTCACACTCTGTTTACTGAGTTTATCAACTGTTCTAATAAGCGTGAAGTTGGCTAGCAGCGGTGCTAGCCTCGTAGCTTCCCAGCTAGCGCGCGCGCTGACGTTAGTCCACGCAGAGGCTAGCGTCACGGTGTTTTTTGTTTATGAATGCCACATTGCTAACGAGACTCGTTGTGTTTTCCCATAACTAGCTGCGATGACAGTAAGCGGAGCGGTTTGCAGCCTGAATAAAATGAGGTCAGTAAGCGTTCAATGTCTATATTGGGTAGGAATGAAAACACAAAAGAGCGAATATGGAAGGGTCTGCTTCATGACAACATCACGCGCTGTCAGTTTGAGCTAGCGAAAATGGTAAACAGCATGAGGGGACACAAAGGCCCGCATCAAGAGTTCTGGAAGAAGTTGAAGCTAAGCGGACAAACTGGCGTTTCTTTCCTGTTATTCAGACGAGCTGTTTAGATAGTTGTTGTTGTGTGGGAGTGTCGTTAACTATTGCCAGGCGGGTTAATTAGTAATACACATGGCATCTAACCATCTCTAACGGGTTTTTTTTGTGTGGGAAATGATGTCTAGCTCTCATCAAGGTTTATGTTGTTGTCTTTTTTTCCTCTTCTTGTGATCGTTTGTGATCTGTCTTCACATGCTCCACAGGCAGCAGCTCTGTTTATACAGTTCCTCAGTTGTAAACATTATACCTTCCGGTCACTGAACAAAAAACTATAAATAGAAAGCCTAGTTTGTTCCAATAATAAAGGCTTTGCTAAGAATCTATAATTGCTAACACACTTTTTTAAATCGAAAACTGATAGTGAAACATCTTTTTGCAAGATCATAGCAATAGAAACAGTGCACAACTTAATATTTTAGGGGAGGGGGAAGCTTTGATGGGCTTTTATGTGTTTATTAGTCAGTTATTCATATGTTGTTACTATAAAAGAGCCTTAAGCTATGCTGTCATGAGTGATCATTTCTTAAATTTGCTTTAGACAAGGAGTGAAACCATTTGACTGCTGGTGAGGAGATGTGTGAGCTAGATAGGAAAGCTTTTGCAAATAACCTCAGTTTATCCACTAGGTTATGCCATGAACATGTGAGGGCTGATTAAAAACATACTAGGGTTGTCTTGATCACAAAAAAAACTTTGAAACAATGCAATGTATCAATACATCAACATATTATGATCAATTTAATTTATTAATTGTCAACTCTTATCAATGCATTAAAATCCAACCCCTTTGATGAGCTGATTTCTTAGAGCTGGAAAAATCTGTCTTCATTTTAATATGAAAACTCTGCCTTCCCCACTGACTTTTAATGAATGCACCAGGTCTTTAACCGGTCTCTTTCACCTTGTTTTAGTTTAGTTAATATTAACTACTAACTGTAAAAAACTTGCTATGAATGTATGAAGGCAGCACATCCTTATTTGAAATGTGAGATGTCTAAAACACTTCCAACACAGACTAAAACACACATAGCATGTCCCATGAACAACAGTGGATGTGGATTTTTCATACCTAAAAACAGAATAACTTAACAGTTATATCTCTTATCGGATGGAAAGAATGAAGGATGTGCTTTATAAAAAAAAATAGTGTTGCACTGATGCCATTTTTTGGCCCCGATACTGATGCTCTATTGCTGATGATCTATTGCATCTGTTTGAAATTTATATGTGTGTGCATATAATCATGGCTTTGTCAAGCTGCTGCCTACATTTGTGAGGCAGGAAAAAGACTAATACAAAGTGAATCCAGTAGAACTTTTTATTGTCTACCTGGAAACTTTTGGCTCTCAAAATGGTATTAGTGCCCTATTTGTTGGTACTCGCCGATACCACCATTTTCGATACCACCATTTTAGTAATGGATCGGGGGCCAAATCCGATTCTGGTATCAGTGCAACACTGTCAACAATACAGATTCAAAATGGCAAATTAAGTCCAGTTTCAGTACAGTTTATTCAGCAATAACACAGTTGCTTAACTGCGAGAGTTCATTAAAGAGACTTGAAAAATAAGTGAAAAAAGAAAAAAAAAACTCCCTGTAAGTATGAGCATGAGCTACAATAACCTACAGATTAGTGCAGCAGTTCTGTGTTTTGGCCACAGGTGCTGTTATCATTAGAAAACGCCATCATGCTCTACGACCAAATGCTAACCCTATAGTCTGATGGTTTTCTGATTAGTTTTCAATAGATTGATCTTTGATCAGAATCGGAGTCACTACCAGATCCGTACTGGAAGCACAATCCATACCATCAGTTAATTTGCTCATGTGCAAGCAGATATTCATCCAGGTTGCTGTAAATATGGCACTAAAAGTATTTACTTCTATCCTTAAATCACCAAAGAATGCTCAGCTACATGTAAAAACATTTCATGTCTTTTCTGAGACAGTTGTAATCCTTTAACATTCTCTCCGTTAAACTGCTAGTCGGATGTCATAGTTGGACATGCTCAGAGCTGTGCAGCGAAATATGATCTGCTTTTTTGTTGTTTCTTTCTGTAGATTATGCATGTACTATAACATTAAAATCAGAGGCTAAAGTAAAACTTGAAAAGACTAGATTTATGTTTAAATACAAAGCTGAAAAAGCTAGCTCCTGGAAGTAGCGTAGGATCCCATTTCCGGGATGGATTGGGCACAGTAGAGTGATAAAACAGCAGTGATTTAAATGCATGTAATTTCTCAGAAAATCAATTAATAACCTTTCACACAGTGTAGTTTAGTACGCTTCTTATTTTTGGGGAGAGAAAATATGGTTTGGTCTCCTTCATGAAGTAAAATTGAGGGCGAACAGGATGTTTATCTGGTTGCACATTTGCAAATGAGCTGACGGTACGGGTCGTACTACCTGTACGGATCAGGTAGTGACACCCAGACTCTCCATCAATCTCTGCTTATTTCTACTAGATCTGTTCTTCTTGGGCCTTAAAACCAAAATCTGTAAACCTGCTGCTAGGAAGATAATTGGTATCAAAGAGTTACATAAAAAATATGTATTTATCTGAGGGGTAATCATAATGATTCACAGGCCGGAGTGTTTTTACTCCTGTAAATAACTGTGTACTACATTTCTCTGTCTCCCCCTGAAGAGCTGTAAACAGATAACAGAAGGACACACGGCATGACTTGTATGAGCTAATCAGGAGTCACATGACAAACAGCTGATTGTTATTTTTATTGTTGGTGGTGATATCTTGTGTAATCATACCTAAATTCTTTTTGCTCACATGTTAACCAAAAACAGAAATAATCTAAACAGAGCTCATATAAACATTTCTGGAATCCAGAGTTTCCACACCAGCTCTTAATTTGCTCTATCAGGACAAATTTCCGTGCTCTTCCTGCCTCATGACCAAAACCTTCAAAGCACTGAGGAATGAGAGTGTTTGGTGCTTTTCTGGGTCACATGTCTAATTCCAATCCCACCTTTTTTCAACCCATGAGTGCTTTTGATATAACTGCTTTCTACATGCCACATCATTCAAATTGTACGAACTTCTCCTGACTTTATTACAAACTACAATGTATTTTAAAATGATTGTATGTGATTGCCAAACAAAAAGACAGCTTATCTGTGTTATACCTGGTGAAAAGATACAATCGATAATATGAATAATATTCATCCTTCCTCAGTGAATATTTGATGCATATCAATCAGCGTTGCTCAGTTAGAACCCAATGTTTTCGTCCGTTACTCTTTGCAACAAAGATCAGGCTCAAATTGATAGTGTTGTTAATAATCAATGCTGGAGTTGTACTACATCGAGCAATTACATTGTGAAGAGGACACTGCTAATACGTTAAGATACTTCAATAAAACAAGCATTTGAACAGAAAAAGCCAAACTTTCATTGCACATTTTGAATGCATTCATAAATTACAGTTTTATTGTACCAAATGCAAAATGTATCCTTCTTTTGTACATTTCACTTAATTACTGCTCGGAGTTAATTGGTTTTTTATTTTTTTTATTTTATGAAACGGTGGGTTTTAAAAGCTATACCCACGCTAAAGATGATTTAATTACAAAATTAGTTGCTGTTAATTTTTTATTTACCCATTTTTCATTGTTAATAGGATTAATAAGTTATTGAGATTGTTTAAGCTCTGCTCTGGACTTCATTCTGTTGAGTCATTCTGTTTTACTGGACTGTTGGTTTAGCTCTACAGAGACATCTCCGTTAGCTTACAGGGTATTTTTCATTTTAAGATAATTCATTGGTCAGGGAGCCTTAAGTTATTGAAAGCTTGGAATGCAGATTAACAATACTACCTGCTTTAAACCTTTCTACAACCTTTCTTTGTCTTCTTCTTCTTGTATTTTATGGCGGTTGGCAAACAACTTTTGGTGTATTACCGTAACCAACTGCTTGATTTCCTCCTTCAATAATGGCAGTAATACCGTAGATCGTCACTAGGAGGCGAGGCGTCGAGGAACTGAGATAGCGTGATGTGTAAACGGTCGTCAGAACCAAGCTCGGCCTGGTTAACTGATCTGAGCATGGACCGGTCTCGGCATGGATCGGTTTTTCAAGGGTAGTGTAAATGGGGTAAATGGATGGATGGATAATTTCATAAGAACACTTATTCTACACTTTGTTTTTTAAAAGTGATAAAAAAGGAGGCTAAAAGCACAAAATTGGTGCAAATATTTGAAAACCATCCACCTCACAATCATGCTCTACTTTATTTTGGCCTATCAGATAAAACCCCCTGTCAAATACATCAATATCGGGGGCCGTAATATGACATCATTGGTAATATTTTAAAATGCATAACAAAGGGGAAGAAATGAGTTTAGGTATATCAGGAATAATGTACCCATGATGCAGTGCTTTGTGTGTTTGTGCAGATGCAGTAGGTATCATGTACAGATCAGCCTCTCTGTGTCCAAACGGTGATGAACATATGGTGCTCTGGTGGAAATAGAAAGCTGGCTTTCAGCATGTTAGTCCCCATGTGGAGGTATGGGGCTTTATTATGGGTTCTGGCCTCTGTGGGGACAGCAGAATTGGCACCAGGAAGCGGAAGTTCCTGGTGATGCCAAAGGAAGTCTTGTCCTTCACTCTGTGTGAGCTTTGAGCTCATTCTGTTCAGTTATACAAAAAAAAAGGGGGGGGGGCAGAATTACAGTGATGCTGACACCTGTGTTTGTCGCAGAGAAGCCCGAGCAACACTGAGGATGTACGTCTGTGGGTGTTTATAAGTAACAGTTTAACTCAGGAGCACATATTATGGATTTAACTGGTTTCCCTTTTTTTCTCTTTAGGACATGCTGAACATGCAGCATCCTGGCTCATTCAGCTCCAACAGCTTGAAGAAGACTTAAAAGGCGGCTGCGCTTTGGTTAGAGTTTGGACCGACTGTTTGTGGAGAAATGGGGAACACTGCCACCAAGTTTCGTAAGGCTCTCATCAACGGGGATGAGCTGCTAGCCTGCCAGCTGTACGAGAGCAACCCGCAGTTCAAGGAAGCTCTGGATCCCAATGCTACTTATGGAGAGTCCTACCAGCATAACACTCCAATGCACTATGCTGCCCGACATGCCATGATGCGCCTACTCAGGTCAGAATTAAAATAACAGCAACTTATAATACTTTAAAAAACATGGAGACTTGATTTTGATTGTTCAGTTATGTCTTCCCCACTCTGTAAAATCTCTCCTGGTTGATTGATGTGAAGATGATAACCTTTCCTTTCTTTGAGTAGATTTCTGGTATATCTGTATTGTACTCATCCTTATGTGTTGGAAAAATGAATGTAATATGATAGAAAATTGTTAGTGTTTTTTGTCTTTATGCCCCTTTCCCCTCTCTCCTGCTGTATAGCCATCTGTTGTCAGGAATGCAACACGCTGTGTTGGAATAGGTTACAGATTCCAAGAGCTTCGCATCTTAAAAGCTGAAAGCCTTGTTGTTGTTTGTTTTCCTTCCACTAAGGCCGTTATTTGTTCTCTCACTACATTGCTCTCCCCTATATGACATTCTTACGTGACTGAAATGACTGCAGGGTTGTAAGTTGTGAACATGTCAAGCAAAAAATGTATGTTTAATTACTTATTTCTTTCCACATAAACTAGGAAAATTAATTAAGATTAAAAAGATATTTCTACATTTAGTCTCATAAACATTTCTATAAAATCTAATCTAAGTTTGACCTCCAACTTTAACCTCTGGATTCAGCTGTAAAAATTAAAATCCTCCTCTATTTTACCTTAAAACTTGTAGGTTGTTTCTTCTAAACAAAGATGGCAATCCTAACAAGCGTAACGTGCACAACGAGACGTCTCTGCACCTTCTCTGCATGGGGCCTCAGATCATGACCTCAGAGGGAGCGCTGCAGCCGCGGATCTCACGACCAAATGAAGATGAGCAGCGTCGAACCGAATGCCTGCAGATCATCTTGTCTTGGACAGGAGCCAAGCTGGACCGCGGAGAGTATGAAAGTGCTGATATCAATGCGGCTGACAACAAGAAAAACACCTGTCTGCACTATGCAGCTGCCTCAGGCATGAGGACCTCGGTTGAGGTGAGATTTTTAAAAACTCTGCTTATGTCTTTAACATATTCTCTATTAGGGCCCCTCTTAAAAAGCCCTCTGAGATTTGCTCCTTAAGTAAAAAGAGCATAAAATATGTCAAGGTGATTCGCAGTGAAAATTTCTCTTTTCTTCTACTATTAAAGGTACAGGGGAGGATTTTCTCAAATATTTGAAAAGAACCAGTCTCTCCACTTTAAAAAAAATGCACAACAATTTCGCTTCTGTGTGCTTGGAATAGCCTATATATATATATATGAATCCCTGCCATATGCTGCATCACACAAGAAGATGAAGTCAAATAAATTGACTTAGGTGTCTTTGAGACCTGATCAGAGTATTTAAAATGATTAACTGATATTGCACATCATAATAGATGTAAACCCAACAGAAAATCCATAGTACTTTGCTTCTCTGTGCACGCACATTTGTCCTCTCAATTCGTGTCTGCACGGCACAATTGTTCCTTGTAAAGATCCGCTGCACTTTCTAATTAATCGGAATGATGCGTATACTTGTAAAATTTTATTGCAAGTGAATGTTGCATTGCGCTCAGTTTATTATCCCTAAAAATCCCACATAATGGCATATGTGTGTTTATGCCCCAACATTAAAATTCCCTACTCCATACTGCGTTAGTATGTATTGTAGCCCGACAACAGCTGTGGCTGGCTTTTACTGATGGAATGGAAACAGAATCAGGATAAATTCTTCAAAAACGTGACTTAAAGGAAAGCAGAAATGTTTGATTTCTTTTTAGCTCATAGCACTATCGTTACACAAGGGATTTTTGTAGCACAGACCAGAAGGTTGTTACAGCCCCTGAAAACCAATTATGCAATCAATACATATAACAAAAGATATTTTCAGAGAAGGATATGTATTTATGTCTTTGTTAATGTATTTTTTAATCTCATATTACATGTGTATGTTATGTTTGTCATGTATCAGCTTTAGAGATATGTCTATATGTTATATATCTGTATATATATATAATATCTGTATATGAATATTTACTACCTCTGGCAGTCTGGAGTGGTAAAAGCCTGTCCTGAGCCAGAGTAACCAGTAATGGAAATGCTCACAAAGCTGGGTGAGACAAATGGAGACAACGGAGACAAATGCAGCCTGGGACTTTTGACTGGATTTGTAAATCCTTAAGAATCAAGAATATCATTTAACTTTGAGAAAACATTAAATTAAATCATCACATCTTCAACCTGTACGTAGATAAAAAACCTTTAAGCTAAATCTTATGAACTTTCTTTTCACAATAACAAAACTCCAAACTGAAAACCCGATGCCCAGGAAAAAAATCCATACTCAATACCATTTTCATCACCATGGGAATAAAAAATGCCCAAAAATTTGATTTCTTAAAAGATTTACAGACAGTGCAAGTAAATGCAAAATAAAAAAATATATATATAACTTAATTTGACAATACTTTGAGGTTAATTGTAGGCTTACTCTTTTAATGTGAAAATAATCTAGAAATCTTGAAATTACCAAAAGAAAAATTGTCAACAGCACTTGTACTAGGTATTGATTGTATCCGGATACAGCATTGAAGTATCGATACTTTTTAAAACCTGCTTTCACTTCAGCGCAATTACACATATATGGTCTCCGATGCTGTAGGCACTGGGCTGAGTAGAGTGAGAGTAGAATAAAAAATATCCCTGTGACCAAATGAAGTGAGAGTGACTCGCAATGGGGAACATGGATGGACCCTGCAGCTGGATCACTAATGGATACAGGGCAGCACTTTAATTCAGACGCTAGCCTGGATGGCAGTATTCATTAAAAGCTTATTAAACCTTTTTAGGTTTAAAAAGGATTGAAAATCAACTTTCATATCTGCTGTCAGCACATTGAAGATGCTGCCTTGAAGTAGTGGTACCGGGAAAAATGTAAGCACCTCGCACGGTTACAGTGTTTATGCAGCACAGTGCTCTACCACTTGGATAGGCGTCTAATAATGACATTTGTTTTGCATATTAAGTGGTCTTTACTTCTTTTTCTTTACCAGTGGGAAAATAGCACACAATCTGTGCTGATTTAGTAATATGCTAGATACAAATGTAATAAAAGGAATCTCTCTTTAAGATGGCACCATTTGAACAGAGCTGAATTTGAATCAGTCAGACAGACGTTATGCTAAGCTTTTCACTTTTTGACTCGCTGCCCATTGTAGTTCTCATTGAAAGATGCCACACTCTGATTGATCTGACTGAATCATTGCAAGGTCAACTAGTGCTGTTGGACAGTCAACCTCTTTAGAGCAAGGGCACACCAAAAAAAAAATGTAGCACACCAACAATCAAAAAAGGAATAAAATGACACTCTTCAGCATATTAATACATAATGACAAAAATCTGGGGCTGTTTAGATGAACACAAATATGATGTAGTGGCAAGAATGAAAGAAAGATATTCATAGGTCTTGCTCAACAGCTCTCAGTCTCTGTTTTTATTTTTATGGTAGTCAGGCTTGAAAATCTCAGCTCAGATTATCTTTTTCACTATGCTAATGAAACCTTTGGTGTGCCCCAGCATGGCTGTGGCTCTATCAGTGTAGGTTCTATCAGTTTTGCAGTTTTCCCATAGTTCTCTCTGAGGCCAAAATATTTAAAATTGACTTCAAAATCTGCTGGTTTCTTTTGTTTATTTTTTTCCCCCCAGCGGTGCCTTGCAAAGTAGGAAGTTTTCTCTTCTGGCATCTCCATTAACAAATCACACATTGACTAAGAGCCGAGTATGTCCTCTAATATCTGTCCATTCATCAATTTGAAAAGGAGATTTGTTACTATTTCATATTTTAATAAGAACTATACCTTCAATGTGTGCAGGAATGCCATGAATCTGTCTGAGAGAGGGACTTTGTCTTTAACTGCATCAGCATCTCATATACTATGGCTTTGCAAACAGGTCATATTAATATTCAGTCATCGTGTGGGAGTTTTTGATTTAGCTATGATTTCAGCAAGAAGCTAGCTAGCTAGCTCTGAGGGCTCTCTCTCATTCACATTTTCTCAAACACCAAACACAATGAAATAAGCGCTGCTGAATCCTAAGTGAAAGAAAATCAGGACCAAAAATATCTCTCGCTTACAGAAAAGCAATGAAATACCAGATACACAAAAACCATCCATTTTATCAGGATGTTGAGGTCATCATGCTGGAATCTAACTTGGCCAAATAATACCGACGTTTTAGTAAACTGCTGTAATTACATGCTAGGCTATTTATTTTTTCCCTGTTAGCACCAAAGAAACATTGGTGCTTTGTTTTTAAACTTGCTTCAATATCAATGGGTCTGTTTGTGCTGCAAGTGCTGAACATTTCACCCTTTAATTGATTTTAAACTGTTAAGTTTTGGCCATTTGAAGTCTAAATTTGTAGTTTCCAGGGGCACATTTTGTTTGTGCTTCAGCAGTCAGTGACTTAAAGTAACTTAATAATATTTCTTGTTAAATGTTGGGTTCATTTAAGGTATTTCAACAATTAGCTTGTTTAAACTGGGTAATAGAAATACAGTCTATCAAATTAGGGTGTAATATAAAGTCTTAAGCAAATTAAATAAAATGACATTTAAATAGAAATCACTATATACTTTTAACTAATTCCAGTTTTCATTATATCACTAAACTGCTTAACTAAACATATACGCTATAGTTTAGGTGGTTTGATTACAGATTTCACATGAAAAAGGAAAAGCTTTAAAAGTAATTGTGTGAGTATAACCAACATCACAATTTTTATCATTCAAAACCATTTTCTTTTTTCTTGCTCAGTTACTGTTGCAGAGGGGAGCGGACCTGTTTGTGGAGAATGAAAACCGCGAGACTCCATGTGACTGTGCGGAGAAGCAGCACCACAAGGATTTGGCCCTCAGCCTGGAGTCACAGATGGTCTTCTCTCTGGCCCCTGAGGCAGAGGGTATAGAAGCAGAGTATGCAGCCCTCGATCGAAGAGAGGTACAGAATTAAAACCCTCCAACAGTTGGTGGAAATTAGTTGTGCCTATCATTGTTTAGAATGTTGTTTTTTTTTATTTTTCGCCTGGACTATTGTTAAGTGTAGTTCTGTCTGTCATGTTGAGAATCCATCAAAGCATTAAAGGTTTGTTTTCTATAGAGCAGCTTTTTGCTGTTAGTCTTTCCGTTATGTCTTTTTGTAAATTAACATGAACTGGATACCTTCCACTCACTAATCCCACACAGCTGTTGTCATGCTATACTAAAAAAAGAAAAAAAGAAAAGACAACCTATTAATCCAGTGTTTCAAAGTAAATATTTGATTTTTTTTTTTGTTGTTGTTGTCCAGTTCATCCAGACAAACCATCTCATACAAAAAAATGTCAGTCTGCTGTTATGCATGTGACCTGTATCTGCTCAATCGTTAATCATCCTATCTCGCATGGCTAAGTCATGTCCCAGCAATCATTTACAATCATTGCTCTCTTTTTCTCAGCCTTTTGGTGGTACATTTATTTGAATTTTAATCCACTTTTGTCAACCACTGCCAAACCTGTTATGTTGGTTTTTTTGTGTGGGCATTTTTTTTTTATTTGCCTGTAGTCAAAGTTGTTGCTTTGACCTTAAAATCACCAGTAACCTCTGTCCCCTCCCCTCCTTTAAGTTGTTAATTCTTGTCTTGTCTCTGTCCTTTTCTCCTCCTCAGTTGTACGAAGGCCTGCGGCCTCAGGACCTGCGTAGGCTGAAGGACATGCTGATAGTGGAGACGGCGGACATGCTGCAAGCTCCTCTTTTTACTGCTGAAGCTTTGTTACGTGCCCATGGTACTATGAAACACAAACACTGACACACGTGTTTATGGAGCAATGACTCTTTTCAAGCACCTTGTATGTGTAAATAAATGGTAAATGGCCTGTAATTATGTAGCTCCTTTATAAGTTAGGGGAGGCCAAATGTTACACTACATTCATTCAGTCATTCATGCACACATTCACACACTGATGGTGGCAAGCTATATTCTAGCCAGAGTTGTCCTTTGGCACACTGAGCAAAGCTGCCTTACAAAGGTGTCAACCAGGCTTTTAGCTAGGAATTTTTCAGGGTTTGCGTGGCCATGCCGTATGGTGGCTAAAGCTTCGTATTGTTAAATGACAATTATCCTTCCTGGTAGGGAACAGGAGGCATGGGGTGGCTAATTTGAGTTATAATCCCTGCTGGTCTTGGAATTGTTTGCTGTCAGTGTTGGAATTGAATTCTTTAAATCATAACAAGAAATAGTATCTAGTAAATATTGACAATAAGAAAGAAAAAAGTTCTAAATTTATACATAACTTTCAATTGATGTTGCTGGAGATTCCCAGTAATTCCATGTTGAATCCTGTGATTACTAATTCAATGTTGTTAATCTTTTCTCCGAACTCCTTATCAGTTATGTTGGAAAAAAAATTTGATCAATAAATCCGCAAACATCCTTATTAAAAGATTTACTTAGATTTTCCCGTTGTATGTTGACATTGATCGATTGCATCTAAAAATTGCAAACGTATTTTCAATTCAAACTATAGATATAAAATAATACATTACAGCAAACGATAGCTTAAATCATATTATAGGTCAGTTTAGTCAAGAGGCTACCTGTAGGAGTTTTAAATGTCCAGCAGGTGTCAGTATTCAGTGACACAGTATCAAAACTATATCAATACAGTTTGCAAATGTGTTGAAACGTTTCATGTCGTCTCATGAACCCATCACTAAAGGACAGTATTCTCATAAAGAACAGAAAAACCTCCAAAATAATCCTATATATCAGGCACTCGATGAGATTTCGTAAACTTTTCAAAGTTTCGAGGTGACCTGTTTGCAAACAGCGCAAAGTGCTTGATCCAGTCAATGAAATAGTATGTAGGGATATCAGTTTATTCCATCAATAACCGCGTCCATACGTACTGTGTCATGCCAATATATGACCAATAGTAAGCGAGTCGCGATGCGCAAGACATTTGCAATTCAAATTTTGAACATTTGAGTGAAGTTTCCGGAGGAAAAACAGGCTGTACAATTTGTCATTTTTATGTACAATGTACAGCTAAACGCATGGCTAGCTAAAAGCCTGGTGCTAACAGGCCTCTAATCAGCATCTGTAGGCAATGTGGACACAAAGCCTGAAGGGACGGAGCTGAGTTTCAAACCTGCGACCCAAACTCTGCCTCCTAGACTTACATTGTATTGAACTTGGTTTACAAAATGTACCTTTATAAGCATTAAAATATATATATTCATTAAAGACAATATATAATTAGTATTTTATTGGGAATAGGGATGGCCGGGTATGATATCCTTACTGTATAACCTAAAGCAAAAATGCAATGGTATAACGGTGCCATCATTATAGTGTTAGGTTGCATTATATTGAAATGTCTAAATTAAAAATGAAAAGTGGAAATAACACTCTTAATTGTGGGCTGATCCTCAGCTTTTGATGTGGGTGACCTGTTGTTACCAGATCTCATGATGCTTAAAAGAATAACTAAGACAGACTTACATTTTTGGTTTTAGCTGTTTTTATATTACAGATTTCCTGCTGCCATTTCGCTCCTTTACAGCATCTCACCCCCCTTTGGTCTGAATGTTCATGCTTTGGATTATTTTTCACCTTTAACTCAAAACTAATCAAATCAACAGCCATGCCTCAGTAACAAGGTGGTATTTGTTTCACTTCTACTGATTCTAAAGGGTTTCTAATTCAGAACAAAGTAAGCTTCAGAATTGTTGGTCTAAAGACGGTGGTTCTGTACAGTTCTTAGGGCCTTTCTTTATCCCAATGGACAAATATAGCCCAGTTCTAGAAGATTTTAAGTTTTTATTTTAAGAGATTCAATTATTCAAGCATTTCAATATTGCAATAATCAGAATATTCAGTAGCAGTTATTTTTAGACTCCTCCTGTGCAAAATGAATGTACCTGTGTTGATCTATAGCAGGGATTTTGCTTCGTGTTCTTTCTAGTTGCTTCATAACTTGCTACCTGATGCTAGGGCAAAGTAATTGCTCAGCTATGATGGGTTCATACACTGGAAAAGAAAATTGTAATTCTTACCAACATCTTACCCACAGTCATGTTAAAAATCCCAAGTTTTCACTGTTCAGCCTATTTTTGGAGCATTCTTATTGTTCCTTAAACATAAGCACAGACATAAATAAAAACATCCGTCCACCGTTGACTAAAGTGCTCAACTCAGAATATATATATATATATATATATATATATATATATATATATATATATATATATATATATATATATATATATATAT